TATATATATATATATATATAAACATATGTTTTCTACTATTACTCAATGAATCAATGATAATAAACAATATAAGTTAAGATATGTATTAAACTAGCAAATAAGACATCAAAAATGCACGTAAAATCAAATATTTTGTTACAAAACCCGTGGCATTACGTCATGTATTGCCACAAACATAGTGTAAGACACAAGCGTTGAACCACAGCATGCCACATCGGCTGTTGCTACGAGCCTTTGAGAACAATGATAAAAACCGAAGAAGTCAAGAATTGGTACATACAATTAGCAGAGACGACGACGGAGAAGAAGAAGAAAAAACGGCAAGTCGAAGTCGAAATCGAACCCATATCGATGAATGAAGGAATGGAAAATGGGGTAAGAAATATGTAAGGGAAAAGAAATGGTAACTTGTGGTTTGGGATGCTTCGTCTTCAGGAATGCCATCGGAGATGGTAATCCAAGATTCCGAGGATTCATGAATGCCGGCGGCAAGTTATGGTTTTCGGGTAACCTCGTTTCCAACATAATATTCTCGAATCCTTTCCCCATTTCTAAAGTAAAAGACCAGGCTTTATTTATTTATTTAATTTTTTAAGGTTTTGGTGGTTGGGAACGAAAACGATGCTTTTCTTTTTGCTTAAAGTACCTAGGTCACAGACATATCAAAAAGCCTCTTTTCTTTTCTTTTCTTTTTTTTTGTTTTTTTTCGTCAACCTGGATATTCAGTCTGCTATGTGAGTTGATTAATCCCAGAACGACGACCTGCTTTGCGGGTAATCTGGAGTCATCGTATTTGAATATCTGTGGCCACGAGAGGTTTTTATTTCTCTTTGGATTTGAACCTGGTATTACAGACACTTTTGACCTTTGGAGTTCAAACTCAAACCAATTAGATACCACCATTCGTTAGATTGTTGTTAATCAGTTAGATGAATGCACGTCTGAAAAGAGATGTAGATATGATTTAAATAAAAATCTTATTTGATTCATGGGTATAAAAAAAGCTCCATTTGGCCAAGAAAAAAATAGTTCAGAAGGTCGTAAATGTTCGGACCTCGGGATGACAAAAACCCGCACATCCGAACCGGAACCCGATAATTGATCCTGATTTGATCGGGGATGGGGATACCATTCATCCTCGATCCCAAATCTTATCCCGAGTATTATTATATATAATAATATAGTGAGAAACCAAATTGGTAAATATAATATACAAATATAATCAACCTATTATGATTAGAACTTGTAAAAAAATTGGATTATTGGTTTGGTTGTTCGTAGAAAACTTTTGTTGATATAACGACGTGATTCTATGAAATTTCAATTATTTAAGTATTGTAATTGATATATTTTATGTTTTTTTATGATACCATCGCAACAACTAATATTTGGGTAATTAATATTTTAGCATTATACGCAGTTTAAACGTAAAATAACATTTATATACGTAATATATAAAAACATTACGTAAAAAAATAAATTGTATATACGGAAAAAAATACCCTCGATTCCCCATTGAGGATTAAGATGGGGACGGAATCTTATTCCCCGATGAAGATGGAGACGGTGATGGGAATTGAAAAGTGGGGATAGGGATGGGGATTGCGATCCTCGATACTCCTAACCCCGTTGCCATCTCCATCCGGATTGGTATTCTTGTGAGTGTTTGAAAATGTTCGTATCAAATTTCTAAGAAGGTTTAACAGAGTATAAAAAAACTAGAATTTTATAATATTTAATGACATTATATATATTTTTGGGATTTTTTAATCAAATTTGTTCCAATAACTTCGAATTCAACTTAAAATAATGGTGAAAGTTATTGGTAATCCACTATTTAAAACTTATAAGGAGCTAACAAATCTCACTTTCTATCCATGTGAAACAAGTTGTTACAATTATGTTATAAAGTGTTCGGTTAAAAGTTTCAAAAACAATTAATTAAAAAATATATTTCAAGTTTACAAGCAATTATTTTTTCTACTTATTGAAATTCTTTAAGCTCTTTAAAACTATTAAATAATTAATAAAGACGTTCAAATAAAAGGAACCTACATGTTGATGCTCACGAGCCATACCAGTGATTTGGAGGAGATCTCTCGACAATAATTGTATACTATTAATACGATACAACAATCCGTCATTATTTGTATTAAAAACAATACCCCATAATTAAGACTAAAACTCACTGTCTTATTTGGTACATAGGACGGGACAAGACATGACGAGACAAAACTCACTGTCTTATGTTTAGCATAACATGGAACGGAACAAGAACTCACTGTCCATGTTTGGCGTGACATAGAACAGAGACAAAAAGTGGGACAAGGTGGGACAACATGAGACAAAAAAAGTTTTTTCTTGTTCCACCAAAATAGGTGGAACAAAATGGGACAAAAATAAGACATAAACTAAAATATTAATAATCTAACCCTATTTTGATATATAACCATCTTCATGTCCTATATAACCATCTTCATGTCCTCTATAACCACCGTCATCCACTAACCACCACTGGCCTCTATAACCACCGTCGTCCACTAACCACCACTGTCTCTACTTCCATAACCATCGTCGACCACCGCCCCCCGCTGCCACTACTACCATCGGCCACCGCCACCGCCACTACCACTACTACCATCGGCCACCATCACCTCCACCACCACCACTACTACTACCATCAATTATATCAAATTTTCCATTGAATTTGGTACCATTATATATGTATGTATTCAATTATATAAAAATTGTGTACAAATATTTATAAATTAAATTCTTTAATTATTTACTTTATTTATGTTGATTATAACTATTATATAATACTTAAACTCATCAAATAACTTTTGGGGTAGCTTGTCTACTTCTGTCCCGTTCAATCCTAGTCACCAAACACTAGACATACTCTTGTCCCGTCCGGTCTTACCCTCTTGTCTTGTCCAGTCCTGTTATGTCCAATTATGTCTGCGTACCAAACGCTACCTAAGGAACTAGATACTTCCTCTATCGGACACGTTTTAAAACCATGAGTCTAGATATATGAACAAAACGAACAATATTTGATACAGTTGGCCTAAAATATTACAGATGGTATCAGAGTTGGAAACGCACTATTGTATTGTGCCACCCGCTATCAAAATTTATAACACCCATTTAAAAAATTTCGATACCAATATGCTTTATTACTATCAAACCATCAAAATGGAAAGCATAATATAAGTTTTTTGTTCTAGAAAAGGGGACAAAACCGATAGGAAAAACTTCGATAAAACTTGGATCGGAATCCACATACATGGTCTCTACTCTAACGAACACGTAATACATAAAAGACAGCCAAAAACAAGTATGATCATGGGCAACTCACCCGAGTCGCCGTTAGGTCGTTATCGTTGCCGTTTTCCTTCATATCCCCGTTATCATCCGTTTCCTTGATCACTTTGATATCCACCTCCACCTTCGCTTTCTCATCACTCGTCTCTTGCACTTGTTTCAACAACGTCGCTACCTCGCCCAATGCTTGTTGCCCAGATGCACCGACATTAATCTCTTTCTCATCGCATTTAGATTTATCTGTAGTTTGATTCTGCTTACAGCCTTCAGTAGCATTCAGATAATCACCCTCGTTCACTTTGCCTTCATTGTCATGAACACCACCTTCAATTTGCTTCTCATTGCATTCAGATTTATCTGTAGTTTGATTCTGCTTACAGTCATCTGTTACATTCATATTCGATCTCACATAATCGTCCTTATTCACTTGCCTTCATTGTCACAAATAACACCTTCAATTTGCTTCTCGTGACATCCAGATTTATCTGTAGTTTGATTATGCTTACAACCATCTGCTGCATTAAGATTCGATCTCATATAATCATCGTGATTCGCTTTGCCCTCGTCAACTTCTTTACCAATCGTCTTTTCCTCGACCTCAGAAGCATCTTGCATCTCAACTTCTTTGATACCTCCGTTTATTTCCGCATCTTTCATTTCAACCTCTTTCATACCTCCTGCCCTTGGTTCTACATTTTCATCGATACCATGCACTTTTTTCTCTTCATTATCGTTAATGTTGCCATCACCCACCGGCTCACGCTTACGTTTGTTAGCCGAAGATGTTGGGTTTCTTTCATCATTTCTCGTATCGACTTTCGAAACCCAACCACCCTACGTTGCAATCAAATGGTCATAAACTTATTTTTAGTGTCTTTTAGGTATATAACCTTCAATGAGATTTTAAGGATGTGAAGTGGCCCACAACCTCTCAAAAGTGGTGTGTATCACATGGGATTTTACAAGTGATTTTAGTGTAAAAATACATGTGATTCAACTGTTTCATAGTTTTTTATTTGATTAATGTTCTCGTATAATTTAAACACACACACACATATATATATATATATAAAAGATAGATTCAAACGAGAATGCTAACTATTTAAGGGGAAAAAAGGTGGTTAACGTAGCTTAATGAGAAAAGTAAAAAACTCTACTAATCTATTTTATTCACAAGAGAACTTAAACAAAAAAAACCATCTCTTAATGCCCGATTACCAATCGCTTACCGTAAGTGCTTATCAAGTCACGTTACGAATAAATATACAAGAACCAATAATCTTATCCGACAAGAGGAAAGACAATGAACGAGAGTCTTAATCGGTACGTGAGGACCACAACTCTTACCATGGTTAAGATTTACCGGGTGAATTGTTGCATACGATCCCGTTTTAATGGACTAAAATCTTATAAGGTAAGTAACAGTGTTGAGTTTTTCAGGAAAACACTTACCCGAATAAATGTTTGGTAAACGGCCCCCTAAACTTAAACAACTACGAAAAATAAGCAATTAATGAAGTAATAGATGAATACCAAAGCGTTGGCAGGAAATTGAGAAGTCGGCATCTTCAGCCGTACGTCGATTAATGCTGACGTTGATTGCTTTTAGAACGAAAGAGAAGACACCTTGGCTTCGGTCGCCGGAGAATAAATAATAGAAGATCGGCGACTTGTTATAACGACGGAGACGGTGATCGGTGAGGCGGTGAGGCGGTTGCAAACTCCTGATGAATAATAATGAATCATCAGGTACACGTGTTTATCGGATATATGTTTGCAATTTTAGCTTATTATAATAAATTTTATTTATATCTATATTATATTATACAAAATTTGAAAAAAAGATTAAAAATTATTTTTTTATGCATAAAATATTGTATA